TTGTCTTTGTGAGACAGGGTCTTGCTATGCAGTTCAGGCTGGCCTTGAGCTCACTTTGTAGCCCAGGCTGGCCTCAAACTCACAACAATCCTCCTGTCTCAGCCTCCCAGGTGCTGGGATTACAGGCGTGCACCACGATGCCGGGCTTACAAGATAGTTAAGATAGTTACTTCTCTCAGTTCATTGAAAAGAAAGGTTTGTGCTAATATTGTTTGGACAATTAAAGTCTGAGTAACTAATTTAAAGATAACAATATACAATGTGTTAACCATTATTACCCTTCTATTATTTTGTTTTGAAACTTTTTTTGTAACTTTTAAAGTAAAAAAATATATATATATTTAAAAGAACTTGGCTGTTTATCATCCTAGGGCAGAAGTTTTATTTTGTTTTTTTGTCTTTTTGAGACAGGATCTTGCTGTGCAGGTCAGGCTGGCCTTGAGCTCACTTTCTAGCCCAGGCTGGTCTCAAACACACTATGATCCTCCTGCCTTAGCCTCGTATAGGCATGCACCACCACGCTCCGTTTCTAGAAGACTTAACAAAACCGAAACCACACAGATCTCAAGAATCACAGCCTGTAACAGGCATGGTTATGCAACCTCTCATCCCAGCACCCTGGGAGGCTAAGGCAGGAAGAGCCCAGTGTGGGCAATTTAGCAAGACCCTGTCTCAAAAAAAAAATTTTGTTTTGTTGTTTTGTTTGGTTGGTTCTTGTTTGGTTTTTTGAGATAGGGTCTTGCTTTGTAGTATAGGCTGGCCGTGAACTCATGGCAATCCTCCTGCCTCAGCTTTCCCAATGCTGGGATTACAAGCATGTGCCACCACACTTGGCTCAAAGTAATTCTTTAAAATTTATTTTAAAGAAATGTATTTAAAGTTTTAAAATTTATTCGAGGTTTTTATTAGCACATATCTGCAATACCTAATTCAAAATAATTTTTTTTAAAGTGGTAGGATACCAGGCATGGCGCACACCTGTAATCCCAGCACTTGGGAGGCTGAGGCAGGAGGACTGCTGTAAGTTTGAGCCCAGCTTGGGCTATATAGTGAGTTTAAGGCCAGCCTGAATGACTAGCAGAGCAAGACCCTGTCTCAAAAGAAAAGAGGGCGGTGGTGGTTGGGTGTAGCTCAGTGCAAAGGCCTTGGGTCAATCTCCAGTTCTGGAAAAAGAAGTCCCACAATCCCAGCCAATGAGCACAGTGGAAGGACAGTTTCCCAGATATTCTAGTGAAGATACAAAAAGCCCTTGGGGGCTGGGGATTTAGCTCAGCGGCAAAAGCGCCTGCCTGGCAAGCGCAAGGTCGTGAGTTCGGTTCCTGGTACCGGAGAAAAACCAAAAAAAAAAAAAAAAAAAAGCCCTTGGAAGGGTTCGTCAAGCTGGGGAGTTGAACGGAAACAGGGAAATAGCACGAAGGGGTCCCAAGCTCCCTGACTTACACATCCCTAGTCTGTTTCAGGCCAGGGTCATCCCAGGTAGCGGTTACTTCCTCGATGCTATTCTAGGTCTCCCTCTCTCCACTCCTGGCCTGCTTTATTCTAAGAGTCCAGAGCATTAGCAGACCCCTTCCTGTGCCCTTCTAATTCATTGTTGTGGTCAAAACAGACGTTACTGTAGACAGTCATGCTCACCTACTTGGACTTTCTTGAGCCTATATCCACAAAGACGTGAACTACGCTCACACATACACACACACACACACACACACACAGTAACATCAGAGAAGCTACTCTAACTCGTGATTTATATTGTTGGGTAAGTGCACTTGCTGCCACTAATACCTGGCAAAAACATAAGAGCACAAGTGAGGTATAAGTGATGTAGTCTCCCTTCTCCCTGCAGTTAATAAAGGTGCAGGCCAGGCGTGGTGGAGCATACCTGTAACTCCAGCACTCTGGAGGCTAAGGCAGGAAGACTGCAGGAGTTCAAAGCCAGCCTGGGCCACATAGGGAGACCTTGTCTCAAAAAAACAAAACAAAGCAAAACAAGACAAGACAAAACAAAACCACAAGCTGGGCATGGTGGTGCACGCTTGTAATCCCAGTACTTGGGAGGCTGAGGCAGAAGGATCGTTGCGAGTTTGAGATCAGCGTGGGCTACAGAGTCACTTCAAGGTCAGCGTGAACTGCAGACAGTCTCAAAAAGACAAAAAAAAAAAAACCCAACAACAACAAACAACAAAGGTGCAGAGGGCTGAGGATTCTCCAGTCTCAGTTACTACAAATAATCAGACTTATAGGCAAAGGGCCCCTTAACCAGTCCAGTCTAAGGAAACAGATGACTCCTAGGAATTTCAATCTAGATAAGACCTGAGACAGACAGCTTGTAATCTCAGCATCAGGAGGCTTGGGGCAGGAAGATGACAAGTTCAAGTACCACTAGGCAATTTGGTGACCTGGGGGTGGGGATGTAGCTCAGTGCAAAGGCCCTGAGTTCAATTTCCATATGCAAACAAACAACTCTTTGGAACACTTATTCTATTTGATGGAATGACGTGTAGATTGACTACAGAACAGAAAATAAAGCCAGTTAAGGGTTGGGGATAAAGCTCAGTGATAGATACTCATAACTGAGACAAACCAGATGCACGTGTGTAAACATCGTACAGCGGGGGCAACACACTTTCTGGGCCCCTTTCTGTCCTTCCCAGACAGAAGTTTTTTTTTTTCTCTCAATAAATTCTTCCCACTCTTAAAAAACAAAATAAATCATATTGTCTCCCTCGTGTGAGAATCTGAAAGAGTAAATAAGATCCAAAATGTACAACAGATACTGTAAAATGGGAAGAAACTTCAAAAGGAAAGAGAGCCGGGCGTGGTGGTGCATGCTTGTAATCCCAGCACTCAGGAGGCTGAGGCAGGAGGATCCTTGCGAGTTCGAGGCCAGCCTGGGCTACAAAGTGAGCTAAAGGCCAGCCTGAACTGCATAGGGAGACCCTGTTTCAAAGAGGAAAAAAAAAAAAAAAAAAGGAAAGAGAAATCAGGATGGGAGATAGTTATACTACTAACTTCTCTTAGCTCATTGAAAAGTTTGTGCTAATACTGTTTGAACAATTAAATGCTCATATCTTGTACTCTGAGTAACTAAAGATAACAGTACACAATGTAGTAACCATTGTGACCCTCCTAGTATCTTGTTTTGAAATTTTGTTTCATTTCTTTTTCCTCTTAAAAAAAAAAAAGCTCAGTGGTAGAGAGCTTGCCTAGCAGGCCTAAGACTGGGTTCCATTTAAGCACCATAGAAAAAAGAAAACAGGGCCAGGGATGCAGCTCAGCAGCACAGCACCTGCCTGGCAAGTGCAAGGTCCTGAGTTCGATTCCCAGTACAAAAAAAAAAAAAAAAGAAAGAAAAAACAAAAAAGCCAATTAAGTTCCTTAAACCTGGCCAGGTATGGTAGTATATATGTAACTGTAGTCTCAGCCTTTGGGAGGCTGAGGCAAGAGGGTCATTCTAGCCCAGAAGCTAGAGATTGAACTGGGCAACACAGAGAGACCACTCTTCTCCCCACCCACACCAAGAAAGTCAGAAACCCAAATCTGAGTCCTAGCTCCAGCTCCAGCGCTCACCGAAGGTGTCAGGCAGGTTACCCAGGCTCGCTCTGGGCCCATGACATGATGCGCCCTCACTGTTAGTCCTAAGGTGCTCTATAAGTACGCGGATTCCAAAATTGCGATCAGAGAAAACAGGTAAATTAGGGGACACGGTAGTTGTTACAAATGGGGCGTTGGCTTTACCACCAATCAACCTTGCTCTCTTTAGGCAGCTCCTGACTTTTTAGGTGAAAGGAAAATATCTTCTATTTTTTTCTTTTTTTTTTTTCTCCATTGTTTTGAGATCTCCTATTTTAGCAGCAGAACCCTTAGACCAAAACCACTTCCTCTGTTAGAAACTCAGAACCTCTGAAGTTTTATTTAATTCTAGAATGCTATGATGCACGCCATACTTATTCCAGATGATTTGCAAGTTAGGCTTCTTTAGTACATTTTAATCAATTCAATCCACAAAAGACCCAGAGGGCATACAGTTCTTCGAGAACCCCCAAGCCGGGCACGACGGCACCCACCTGTAACCCAGGCACTGAGGCACTGAGGCAGGAAGACTGCAAGTTGGAGCCCAACCTGAGTGATTCAGTGAGACCCTGTCTCAAAATGAAGGAAAGGGCTGGTGATGTAGCTCAGGGGAAAGGCCGTGGGTCCAACACTCAGTACTCAGAAAAAGAAAAAGAAACAGAAAAAGATCTTCTGCAAAGCCTAAGGCAGGTCTGCCAGTCCTGAAAGCCTAGCAGTGACTGCCCCCTTGGTTACCAGCACTGAGAATATTTGTGTGGTTAGTTACCCCAAACCTCGCCTTCTTCCCACACAGACAAACTTCTTGCCGGTAGAGACATGTAGAAGAGAAACATAACCCTTATCCTCAGTCTAAGGCAAAGGGATAAGTCCAGAGAGAATGCAGGATAAAAAACTTGAAAAGAGATAAAGCTAGCTGGGCATGGTGGCGCACGCCTGTCATCCCAGCACTTGGGAGGCTGAAGCAGGAGGATCAAGGCCAGCCTGGGCTACACAATGAGTTCAAGACCACTTTAAACTATATTGTGAGACCCTATCGCAAAAAGAAAACACAAAAAAAAGACATAAAACTAAGTAATTATCAGCAAGTTAACAATTCATATGAGACACACATATGCAAAAAAGAACAAGCGAGGTCTGGCGTGGTGGAGCACGCCTACAATACCAGCACTCGGGAGGCTGAGGCAGGAGGATCGTTGCGAGTTCAAGGCCAGCCTGGGCTACAGAGTGAGCTCAAGGCCAGCCTGAACTGCACAGCGAGACCCTGTCTCAAAAACACAAAAAAAAAAAAAAAAAGAACAAGAGAATGTGAGTCAATCGCAGAGAGCTTTCTGCGGGAAAGTTTTACAAATCTGGTTTTCAAGGGCAGCAGGACCCCCAACTGGCGGAGAAAAGACACACAGCCTGGAGCCATATTCCAGACCAAAGCTTACCTTCCAAGCGCTGGGGGGCGGTTCCCTGTTCACAAGGCTCCGAGCCCCAGAATCCTCCACTCGGTCCCACTCAGGCGCTCACTGCAGAAACCCATCTTGCCGGCTACGCTCCGACTTCGTCGTCCTCCCTAGTGACAAGTTCCATCGCCAAGGCAGGGCTGTGCTGTCACAATCAGGTGCGCGCTATTAATAGGGACACAGAGAGAAAGGTGAGTCAGGCGCCACCTCCGCTGAGCAGTGAGATGGGAAGGACTTGGATCTGGCCGGGGGCCAGCAGGATGAGGCAACTCCTCCCGGGCTTACAGCTTTCAGGGCTAGCACGCAGGACCTTTCTCAAAGAGGCAGACTGCTGGCGAAGGGATCGCACTCATGGGCCAGGAGATTCAGACACAGCTGGAGGCCAGGCATGGTGGGCTCAAGCCTGTAGTCCCAGCACTCTGGAGCCGAGGCAGGAGAAGCACCATGATTTCAAGGTCAGGTTGGCTATAGACTGAATTCAAGGCCAGCCTGCACTGCACAGCGAGACCCTGTCTCAAATTAACAAGAACACAGATGGGAGGGAGAAGAAAAGGACAAAATTGAGTAAAAAAGCTGTTGGGATATTTTTTTTTAATTCATTTTGTTGGGCCAGGGATAGCTCAGCTACATGGTTCCTGCGTAGCAAGTGCAGTGCTGAGTTCAATTTCTTTTTTTTTTTTTTTTGGCTTTTTTCTGGTACCGGAAATCGAACTCACAACTTCGTGCTTGCCAGGCAGGTACTGTGCTGCTAAGCTAATCCCCAGCCCCTTGAGTTCGATTTCTGATACCAAAAAAATTCGTTTTGTTTTTTTTTTGACACAGGGTCTCACTATGTAGTCCAGGCTGGCTTTGGACTCACTATGTAGCTGAAGCTAGCCTTGAATTCACATCAATCCTCCTGCCTCAGCCTCCCTAATGCTAGGAATGCAGGTGTGGGCCACCACACTGGGCTGAAAAAAACATAACTTTTATTTGTACAAATTACTAAAGTAATGTAAATCATTCCAAGTCCACAGCTACACAACACACAGATTAATAATAACTTACACTTACAGAATGATACTTTAATGTTTCCAAAGTGCTTTCACATAAACTGTTTCATGTAAAAAGAATTCCAGTTGTATACTCCAACAGAAAATACCTTTGTTTTTGGTTTTTGGGGTTTTTTTTTTTTAATCTTTCTGAGACAGGGTCTCCCTATGCAGTTCAGGCTGGACTTGAGCGCACTGCCCAGGCTGGTCTTAAACTTGCAAGGATCCTCCTGCCTCAGCCTCCTGAGTGCTAGGATTACAGGCGTGTGCCACCATGCCTGGCTTTTTTTGGTTTTTTTTTGAGAGATAAGGTCTCACTCTGTAGTTCAGGCTTGCCTTGAACTCACAATGTAGCACAGGCTGGCCTCAAATTCAAGGTGATCCTCCTGCCTCAGCCTCCCAAGTGCTGGGGTTACAGGTGTGCACCACCACACTCAGTGAAAATATTAGTTCACATGGAGATGCTCAAGAATGTTGTCATAGATACAATTCTACTTCCCAAGTCAGGAAATATTCTTGAGGGGATGAGGCTTTAAAAAAAATGAAAGCTGGGTGTGGTGGCGCATGCTTATAATCCTAGCTGTCGCGAGGCTGAGGCAGGAGGATCATTTCAAGTTGGAGACAAGCCTACAAAATGAACTCAAGGCCAGTCTGACCTGCATAGTGAGACCCTGTCTCAAAAAGACAAAAAAAAAAAAAAAAAAAAAGAGCCAATGAGGAAGTGATTCCTGGGCGGACAACCTCCAAGGCTACAGACCAGTGAGCTTGGGCTGACTGGATTCTCATCGCTACAGGGCTGCAACCAAGCGGAAGAAGAGAGGGCCTAGGACGAAGGGTGCTGTGGGAGCTCCAACCACACACAGGAGAACAGCAGCTGTTCTCCCTCCCCACCAGGACAGGCTCATCAGCCGTTTCAGAGCTGTGTTAGGACAATAACGATGATCTCTATACGTAATGCAAAGACCACTTTACCTCCTGAGTCTGCACATATGCTCATTAATGTACCATGTCCACCAGACCCTGTTTGTTTAGAATGTATTTTTATACTAATAAAGGGGACGAGTGGCAGGCACATTTTCTCTTCCCTGTGGTCCAATGGGGGCAGTGAGGGGGTGATGTTGTCTCCCCAGTAGTATTTCCTTTCCTATCCATGATACAGAAAAGGATGTAATGCCTTGTGCTATTGGACAACACCCCCCTTTTCCAACACCCTGGTACATGCACCTGTACCTAAAGAAATGCTTTTACGGGCCGGGGATATAGCTCAGTGGTACAAGCGCCTGCCTGATAAACGCAAGGTCTGGAGTTCAAATCCTGATACCTATCCCCCACAAAAAAAAACGAAGAAAATAAGTGCTTTTAGGAATCATTGCTCTTGGCTATGCTCATCTCCTTCTAATGACAAGTTTCAGTCTCAGAAAACAAACAGCTGCCCACGCTGGGAAAACCAATCCCACTTTCACGGCCCCTTGGCCAAAACAAAACAGTTTTTCAACTGAGCCAAAGAACAGAAGTCAGAGACTTGGGTTCTAGTCCTACTTCTTCTTTTCTTTTTTTTGGTACCAGGAATTGAATCGAACTCACGAGCTCACTCTTGCCAGGCAGGTGCTGTGCAGCTGAACTATATGCCCAGCCCTCTAGTCCTAGTTCTACTACCAACCAACTGGACAACTGGAAGCAAGCCATCTAGCATGGGGGCACACAACTGTGATCCCAGCACTTTTGGAGTCTGAGGCAGGGAGATCACAAGTTTGAGCCTAGCCCAGGCAACTGAGCAATTTAGCAAGATCTTGTTTCAAAATTTAAAATAAATTAAATTAAATAGGGAAATAAGACTTTCTGGGGATGGGCAGAGAATCTGAGGCTAGAAGAAGACAAATAGGAAGGGCGGTGCATACAGGCCTGTAATTCCAGCCTGTAATCCTAGCACTCAGGAGGCTGAGGCAGAAGGATCACCAAGTTCTAGGCCAACCTGGGCCACATGATGACTTCAAGGCCAGCCTGAATTGCATAGTAAGTCCCTGTCTCAAGAAAAAAAAAAAGGGGAGGGGATAAAAAGGATCAACAGGGGCTGAGGATTTAGCTCAGCAGCACAGCACCTGCCTGGCAAGTGCAAGGTCGTGAGTTCAATTCCTGGTACCAGAAAAACAAACAAACAAAAAGGATCAACATGTGATATATGTATGTACCAATACTCCATGATGAATATATTCATTATGTAACACAAATATATACTAATAAAGACGTTTAAATAAAAACAAGCAAGCCATGTAACCCTGTGTAGTTGTTAGTTTCTTTAGCTGTCAAGTAGAGAAAATGATACTTGCTTTATCTTTTTTTTTTTTTTTTGGTACCAGGAATTGAACTCAAGACCTTGCGCTTCCCAGCCAGGTGCTTGTGCCACTGAGCTATATCCCCATTCCTGCTTTGCTTTATCTATCTTATTTATTGTCCGGCAAGCCGAAGGAGATAATGTAAGGGGCCAGGGATATAGCTCAGCAGCACAGCACCTGCCTGATAGGCACAAGGTCCTGAGTTCGAGTCCCCAGTACCAAAAAAAAACAAAAGAAAAAAAAGAAACAAAGGAGATAATGTAAAAGCATACTCAATACTGTTGTCTTCTGGTAAAATATTACTTTTAGCAACAGACTAGCAAAATTCTGTAAATTTAGAAGACTAGAGGAAATTTTTTATATCTTTACTAATTTTAAGGTATCACTCTAACTACATATACATATGAAATGCACAGGCTGATGTTCTGATTACCAAAACATCCACTGACTACACCAGTAAGTAACACACTCACCAGCTCCCATCTGTGTGTACGCACGGTGAGGATGTGTGACCTACTCCGCAACAACTAAACAATACAATGTTAACTAACCACCACGCTCACGCAGTCCTCAGCACTTATCCATCTTATAACTGAAAGTCTGTAATCTCGGAACAACATTCCCCATTTCCTTCACCCTCGAACTCCCGACAACAGAGGAAATGTTTGAAAAAGCTTGTTCCTTCTTTTCAATTACTGGAAACCGGGCCGGGCCACAAGGACGACTGGACACAGGGCAGTAGCACTCTTTTTTGCTGTTGTTGTTGGTTTTTTGTCTTTTTGAGACAGAGTCTCGCTATGCAGTTCAGCCTGGCTTTGAGCTCACTTTCTAGCCCAGGCTGGTCTCGAACTCCCAACGATCCTCCTGCCTCAGCCTCCCGAGTGCTGGGATTATAGGCGTGCGCCACCATGCCCGGCTGGCAGTAGCACTCTTGCATGATCCCAGCCCAACCATCGCTGCTCGGGGGAAGGCCAGCAGCCAGCAATACCATCAGCTTCTTATTGTCACATGCTGCATAGGGAGGATTAAGACTATCACCGACCAGGATCCAGGAGCAGTGGCCTCAGAAGAGCCACGTTTGCTTACAGGTGAAACAAAGTCAGCTTCTTCGTGGGAAAGGTGACTGCCGACCCCCCAGACCAAACGCTCTCACCCCTCTCGCCTTTCGGGCTCTTTCTCCGCCCTCTCCCCACCCCCGACTCCCCAGCGTCCGGGTTTGGAGCACGCTTTCCCGTGCCTGCAGCGTGCGGGCGCACCGCGCCGGGCTGTAACCCAAGGGCAAGGACGTAAAGAATGTGAGATCCCTTCGCGGAGCGGTGGGAGGGGAGCAGGAGCCGGGAACGCAGGGGAGAGAATGACAAGGCTGCCAGAGACAAGGCACGGGAGAGCAGCCAAGTTATGGAGCTTGGAGGGCGGAGGTTCAGGTTCCCCGGAATGTTCCCTGCCTCCCCGCCAGGCCCGTCACTCACGGCCCATTTAAACAGCGCGCTGCCCTCCCACGCCCGCTTCCCCGGGGCCTCCCGCGGCGCAGGCCCCCTCCGGCACTTCGCGAGGCCCCCCACCGCCGGGGACGCTCCGCGACATCCGGGCCTCGAGGGCGCCCTTCTCACCTCCCAACTCTTCCCCAGCGCTGCTGCCTTACTCCATTTTTCATCTTTACTCCACCCCTTCTCCGAACCCACCAGCGCTAACCCGCGCCCCGATCCCCCGGGACCTCAGCCCCGCAGCCTCGGTTAGGTGGAAGCTCGCGCAGCCGCAGTACGCACCGCCCCGGACGCTATCTGGACTCTCCCGTACCCCGATCGGGTTGGAGCTGAGGCCGCAGCGGCCACCGAACAGCCCCGAGGCCGAGCCCCAGCCTTTCCCGGGAAGGGAAGGGGAAGGGGGAAGGAGGGGTAAGAAGGATCCAACCACTCCTCGCCGTGTCGGACAGATCCCTTGCCCCGCCCACCGCTGCTACGCAACCCGGCGGAAGCCCGTCACCGCGCCCGCCTCTTCCAAGCGCCGCTGGACCAGAGGCTCGGGCTGCGGCGGGCCGGGCCTGCGCTGCGCACCGGAAGTCCGCGGCCGCAGCCTGGACGCGATAGCCGTCTGGGAGGAACGACTCTATGTTCTTCGCGGCGTGAACGTGCGGGGCGAGCCTGGCGTTGACCTCTCGGGAAAGCGATTCCTCTGCGCTTTGAAGGGGCACGTGTGTCTTGTGTCCCAGAGCTGGTGCGGAGCGGTGCGAGATCGTCCCCGGGCAGCTAACCTGCGCTGTGACCTGCCATCCTCCCTGCCCCTCTCGGTTGCCAGAACCTCCCGACCCTGTGACTCACGGTCGCGAGAATGGATCCCGAAGTTAACGCGGAGGCGGCGGGGTGGGGAGCTGGGCAGTGTCTCACCCCAAAGCTAGGTGCCTCGTGGATTGGCCGCCTGTCTCCCAGCCACACTAATGCCGTGTCCGCTGTGACTTTTCAAACGGTGGCAGAGTCCCTGAAACACCTAAGTGGAGAGCAGGGAGAGAAACGCCCCGGTTTGATTTTCTGAGGTGGCAGCGTCGTGGTTGGGGATGTGGGCGGGAGAGAGAACCTGGGTTGGGGAAGTCCTGATGGAGCCTAAAGCGCTCTGTGCGAAGGTACGGGATTAAGCAAGCCAAGGCATTGCAATTACATGACCTCTTAGGCTGAGCTGGTATTAAATAGTATCTGTTACGGATATTCACTAAGCAAATTGTAATGCACATTAGCATATCTTTATGTAATTGGTTTATATATAATAGTACGGAGCTAGCTACCTTTTGTTGACGATCTGCCAGGGCCCCAAGGCAACTAAATGTTCCGGTCCTTCTTTTGTCCTCTGAGACCTAGTGAGATAAGGGCAGTGGAGCAGGTGTCTTACGAACTGAGAGGGACGAAGAAGTGCCCTTCCTGTCCCGCGCTCCATTCATCCAGAGGGGGTCGAGCCGGGCGTGGTGGCTCATGCCTGTAATCCCAGCACTCCGGAGGCTGAGGCAGGAGGATCGCTGCGAGTTCCAGACCAGCCAGGGCTATAAAGTGAGCTCAAGGCCAGCCTGAACTGCATAGCGAGACCTTATCTCAAAACAAACAAACAAACAAACAAACAAAAAAACCCCACAAAACATACTTTATATAAAAAGCAACGCCTAGGACGCAGCAGGCACTTATAAACATCAGTTTTCTCCTCTTTATTGCTGACCCTGGGTCTTCATCTTTAATGCATTACTCCGTTCGGTCAGGGCTTATGGGACAAGTGGCAGTCACGCCAGACACAGACCACAGGCAGACTCGACCCCCATTGTCACTATGCAGCCCCGACTGGCCTCAGACTCGTGGCAGTCCCCGTCCCCCAGCCTCCCACGGGCTGAGGTTACAGCCGTGCGCCATCACGGTCTATTTAACTTAAGTTTTCATCTGTAAAGTCTTTAAGGATCGTCAGGAAGAAAGCGAAGTGCTGAGCCGGGGCCCGACTTGTTCTCTAGAGGCCGAAGTCCTTGGTCCTTCCCCCGTGTCACTTACTGCTTGGAGAGAAAACCACAGCCTAAGTGCCTTCTCCTAGGCCTGTAAAGAAAAGTTGGGGCCGGAGGCGCCCCCTAGCGGTCCATCTCTCCCATTGGGAAGCCAACCGTGTCCCTGGCTCCTTTAAATACCCGAAAGCCGCCCTTTCGCGGCTCGTGAATCTCCGAGTCCGATTGGCTGAGCGGAAGGCCGGCGGCGGGACGCGGCGCGCGCCGGGATGATCCTGATTGGTTGGAAGAGATCACGAGGGAAACTTGCGGCGAACGTCCGCGCTCCGGGGTTCCACCGGTCGGCATCCGGTGGCGGCAGGGCCTGTGGCTCCCCCTGCGGGCGGCTCAGCGGCGTGCACAGTCCGGCGGGCTGACGGGGTGGGTGGTGCGGGGTGGGCGGTGGGGGGTGGGGGATGGATCGAGCCTCGGGTCGTTCGGATGGGGGTTCGGATGGGGGTTCGGATGGGGGTTCGGGAAGGCCTGGCGGGTAAGATTCCACGCCTTGGCTCTGCACCGGACCCTCCACCCCTGGCTGCGTCGGCTCCCTACTTAGGAGCGAGAGCCCGAAAGAGCATCCCGACAGGGGGCCTTCCAGCCCCGAAGCATCTCGTCCGGAGACCCCCAGTGCTAACCTTGAAGTTCGAGGCCCCCGGGGGAGTTCGCTTCTAACCTTCTGTAAGGCTAAAGGGGCCGAGGCTGCCCGGTCCTAGCTTGGTTTGGTAGGTAGGCCTTGGGGAGTGGAGCATGGGGCAGAGCGCCCGGCGTTCAGCCTTCATCCCCTGTTCCCCCTGCCAGTGGGGTGCCGACGCGCGGGCAGCATGACTACGGAAACCTTCGTGAAGGACATCAAGCCGGGGCTGAAGAATCTGAACCTCATCTTCATTGTGCTGGAGACAGGTGACTGCCGGGGCGCGCGTTCCCGCGGCGTGCTGTGCAGGGCGGGTCCGGAGGGGGAGAATACTTTTTTCTGCGTTCTTAACTTGCTCCCGAGATGGCAGGGTGTGCCCCAGGACACTGCTTGCTCCCGGCCTCTCTTAGACCCCGGCACCCGGACTTGCGGCCGGGCAGGGCATAAACAGAACTCGCCAGGAGGGCGCCTCCAGTGCCACGCGGGCCCCTTTCCACTCGGGACCCTCTCCATGGTGCTGGCCCCTCCACTATGGCCGCGCCTCAACCCCCGTCTGTGCCCCACGGGCTGGGCGGGCATACAGCTTTCACCTGACCCCACGGATGGATTCCCAGATCTCAGGTTCTGGCTGCCACCACCCCCATTTGTCTGGCCATCTTCCCACCCCATTCACCTGTTCTCCCCAGGTCGAGTGACCAAGACAAAGGACGGGCACGAGGTTCGGACCTGCAAAGTGGCCGACAAAACTGGCAGCATCAATATCTCTGTCTGGGACGACGTGGGCAACCTGATCCAGCCCGGGGATATCATCCGACTCACCAAAGGGTCAGGCGGCCGGTGATTCCGGCAACCGTCCGGAGGGGCGGGAGGGGAGTTTCCATAACCCTCCCGAGGACTCTGAATCTTGCTTTCTGGCCCTCCAGGTATGCGTCAGTGTTCAAAGGTTGTCTGACTCTGTACACTGGCCGTGGGGGCGATCTGCAGAAGATTGGAGAGTAAGTGCCGGCTTAAGGGCTGTGATGAAGCAGTCGCACCCGAAGGGGAGAAAGTTAAGGCTTGGGAGGAGGAAGCCTCTGAGCCTGCAGCCCACGCCCTAAATCTGGACTTTCCTGAGGCCTTTAGCACTGGCCTAGCGGTGGGTTCCAGGCTTTGGCTATTTTCTTCCTCTGCAGATTCTGTATGGTTTATTCTGAGGTTCCTAACTTCAGTGAGCCCAACCCGGAGTACAGCACCCAGCAGGCACCCAGCAAAGCTGTGAGTTTCCTCCTCTGATTGTGGGGAGGGGGATCAAGTCAAGAAGCATGGCGGTGAGCGCGGTCTAAGCGTGTACCTGTGCTTTCAGGTGCAGAACGACAACAGCCCTACAGCCGCCCAGGCTGCCCCCGGACCCCCTGCAGTCTCTCCAGGTAAATCTGTTCCCACCCATTCCTTGGTCTCTGTGCTTTCCCTCCTGTCCCCGGCTTGGAAAGCTACATTTCCCTCGGGTTTTTTTCAATCCTTTCTTTTCTCAGTATATCCCCTTGTGTCCAGTTCTTCTCTCTGTGACCTCATTTTTTGTGCCTTTTGTAAGTTCTGCAGGAAAAGATGTTTTGGGGGGAGTTTTTGTTGTTTTGGGGTTTATTTTTGAGACAGGGTCTCGCTATGCAGTTCAGGCTGGCCTTGAGCTCCCTTTGTAACCCAGGCTGGTCTTGAACTCACAACAGATCCTCCTGCCTCAGCCTCCTGAGTGCTGGGATTACAGGCATGTGCCACCACACCCGGCGCAGGCTGGCCTTGAACTCACTATGTAGCCCAGGCTGGCCTTGAACTTGTGTTGATCCTCCTGCCTCAGCCTCCCAGGTACTGGGACTGCAGGTGTGTGCCACCACGCTTGGCATGGTGAAAAGATCTGGAAACTTGTTTCAGTCATTGACAGAGCTCCAGTCCACTTCTGTCACTATTGCTCATGTCAGAAAAGAGAACAGTTTCTCTCCATATGGCAAATGAGTATTATGGCTAAGTAGGCTTACACGCACCTGAAGAATAATTGTGTCAATTCCTGATAAAATAAAAATGGGATGGAATGCAGATGTAGCTCAGTGTGAAGGCCCTGGGTTTATATACCAGCACGGCAAAAAATTAATTTTTAGAAAAGTGAATTCCTTGTACCTTTGTAAATTCCTTATAGCAAATCTCACTGGATATTAAATGGATAGATCGGTATAAATATACAGGGTCACACATCCCTTGATGGAAAGACATTCTGAGAAATGTGGCATTGGGTGATTGCTTCACGGTGTGAATATCACAGAGTACTCACAGCCTTAGATGGTGAAGCCTGCTGCATGCCCATGCTATGCTGTAGCCTATTTTTATTTTTTAATTAGTACATGTTTGTGATGCATAGTGGAGAACTGGGATGTGTACATATCATATTATAATCTTTACTCTCCTTCTGTCCCCTCGCTTTCATCTCCCCATCCCTAGGTCTACTTCCCCTTCATTTCCACTCCACAATGTGCCTTCCTCCCTGTTTCTTATCCTTTAAAGACAAACAAACAGGGGCTGGGGATTTAGCTCAGCAGCACAGCGCCTGCCTGGCAAGCGCGAGGTCGTGAGTTCAAGTCCCGGTACCAGAAGAAAACAAAAAAAAGAAAGAACTTTTTTGTTAAAAACCAAGATACAGCACTCAGGAGGCTGAGGCAAGAGGATCATTGCGAGGAGTTCAAGACCAGCCTGGGCTACAAAGTGAGCTCAAGGCCAGCCTGAACTGCATAGTGAGACCCTGTCTCAAAAAGACAAAAAATAAAAAAAGTAAGATATAGCCAAGGCTTGTAATCCCAACACTGAAAGAGATTAAGGTAGGAGGATCACAGGTTTGAAGCCAGCCTGGGCAACTTGAAAACTTAGCAAGATTCTGCCTCAAAATAAAGTGTGAAAAAGGGCTAAGGATATACCTCGGTGTGACGGCCCTGGGTTCAATCTCCAGTACAAAAGTAAAAGAAAAAAAACAAAGCCTAAGACACGCTTACAGGCTTAGGAGCGTCTGTGCCACTGTCTTCTGTCTCCGCATCTTGTCCCACTGGAAGGCCTTGGGACAGTAACGCGCAGGGAGACGCTCTCAGGTAACAGTGTCCTTTTCTAGAATATCTCCTGAAGGACCTGCCTGGGCCTGTTTATGGTTAACTTTTTCTTTTATAAGTAGAAAGGGCCAAGGATGTAGCTCAGCAGCATAGGCGCCTGCCTAGCAAGCCTGAGGTCATGAGTTCGATTCCCGGTACCAAAAAAAAAGTAGAAAGAGTACATTCTGAAACAATGAAAAGCATAACCCACTAACAGTCATTTATTGTCAAGTATTATGTACTGTGCATAAGTATATGTGCTATACTTTTATGCCACTGGCAGCTCAGTAGGTTTACACTGGCAGCACAACAAACATGTTGGGGGCCCGGGAAATAGCTCAGTGGCATAAGTGCCTGCCTGGCAAAAGCAGGGTCCTGAGTTCTATTCCCAGTACAAAAAAAGAAAAAAAACATGTTAATGATGCATCGTGCTGCATTACCATGGCCATGGTGTCACTAGGTGGGAATTTTTCAGCTTCATTATAACCTTATAGAACCATTGTTATATACGTGGTCCATTGCTGACTGAAATTTTATGCCATGCATGAGTGTGTACACCTTCTATTATTTCTTTTCTTTTCCCTTTGGTACCAGGAATCGAACTCAGGACCCCGCCATGGCCAGGCAGTCACTGTGCTGCTGAGCTATACCCCCTGCCTGTTTTTTCTGACTCTGTAGAGAACCCTGATAATATAATCACAAACTAACAACATTTTATTCCACCACAAAAATTAGCATCTGTATTTGCAAAAGAAAGTATGTCTCTGGAGACTAAGGGTGTAGCTCATTGGGAAGGCCCTGGGTTCAGTCCCAGACCCAAAAAACAAAAAAAGAAAAAGAAAAGAAATATAACTATGATATATTTTTAGGTATCTGTGACTCCATCATTTACAATTTCTGGGGGAAGGGCACTGGGGACTGAAGTCAGGGCTTTTCACACTTGCCCTTCTAAAAGTTTTTTAAAGGGGCTGGGGATTCAGCTCAGTGGCATAGCACCTGCCTGGCAAGCACGAGGTTGTGAGTTCAATCCCTGGTACCGGAAAAAAGCCAAAAAAAGTTTTTCAAAATTTTTAATTAATTAATTGTTTTATAGTACTGGGAACCAAACCCAGGCCTTTGACACTGAGCTATCTCTCCAGCCTTTCTTTATTTTGAGACTCGGTCTCACTAAGTGACTAAGTTCTCCAGGCTGGGCTCAAACTTACAATCCTCCTGCCGCAACAAAAATATTTTTAATAATGTAAACCTAAACCTGTTTGCCCTGAAAATTCATTTGCCACCTGTTTATTCATTTTGTCATCTGCGAACAGATAGAAAAATTTTTTTTCTCTTCTTGTTTTATTTGTTTGTTTTGAGAGAGGATCTCACTATTGCTCAGCTAGAAAAAGTTTAATAAAAAACATGGATACCATAAAAACTTAACATTGACTTCTGCACATTCAGCATTTTCTGTGAATTGAGAAAAATAAAACAAGCGGGGCGTGGTGGTGCACACCTAACATTCCAGCACTTGGGAGGCTGAGGCAGGAGGATTACTATGAGTTCAAGGCCAGCCTGGGCTACATTGTGAATTTAAGGCCAGCCTCATGTGCATAGTGAGACCCTATGGACATCATAAAGACCAAAAAAGAAAAAAATAAGACATTATTCTGCAGTTCAGGCTGCTGATATCTTATCTGGGCAAGTGCAAGGTCCTGAGTTCGATTCCTGGTACAAAAGAAAAAAAACAACAGCCAAGAATACAGCTCAGTGGCACAAGTGCCTGGCTGATACCTTAATCTGGTCAAGCAGCAAGGTCCAGCAGGGACACGGTTTGCACTAACCAACAAACTGTACACCTTGTAGAGTTTGTGGTTCCCTATGTTTGTGAGGGGCAGGGCTCTGCCTTCATTTAACAAGCATTTATGAAGCACCTACTAGGTGCCAACAAATAAACCACAGCACCTGCCTTTAGGGGCTTATAGTCTACACCGGAGACTGATGCACAGATAATGATTGTAATATACTGTTAGGCACGGTGATAGTGACGTGCACAGTTACAGGAGCTCAGAGAAGTCACCTCACACACCGGGTTACAGTCTAGCCCTGAAACTATGCA